ACGAGGTGTAAAGTGCTCTTGGCTGAACACCCAGCAGTTCAATTAAGCCTATTAAGAGCTTTCCCTTGCTGCTTGTCTTTCTGAGGTTATTGGGGGCTCTCTGAGCCCCGCATAATTTTAGCTAGGGGCTCTCCCGAGTCCCTGAGAGTCCCTAGCAGCCCACCCCTGGATAAAGCCATCCTTAAGTACAGTAATCACAGGATGGCTATGATACCAGAACCCTAATTGCAATTTCTGGCCTCTAATTTCTGCCTTGTCTATGCCAGCAGCCCATGCCTCCTGATCCAGTTTGATCTCCTTAAGTCTTGCCTGCCTGCCATCAGCTCCAATAAGGCAAGACACAGCTCCTATCTGTCTTAGTTCTTCTTTCCCTTTTCCAGTCTTGACTCCTGTTAGAACTGATAGAACTCTTTATGTTCCAGCCACATAATACCTTGATGCTCTTTAATTTGGTATGCTAACTGTGGTAACCTACCCAGCTTACGTTTCCAGGCTAAAAACAATGCAACAGCACTATGCAAAGTGCTTTTATTACTAGTTCAGATTAAAAGATGAGTAACTCAGTAATACATTGCATGTCTGGCATGCATAAGATCCAGATTGACAAACCAAGAATGAAATCAGCAACATAAATAGTAATCCTTCCTACCAAAACCCCCTTTATTACTATTGTCAGGCTACCGGTTTACTTCCATGAGGAAATAGAATTGAAGAAGGAGGAGGGAAATATCACTTTCTCTTCAAAGGAAAATAGATTGGCCACTTCAAGTTCAACAGAAGCACCCACAGAACTCCCCATGGGAATCCAGTCCTTCTGATCAAACGATACAAGTCACGGTGGTGCAGAGTCTTCTGCCAAGATGATGGAAAGTGCAGCTGCTTGCTGAACTGGTTCCCTGAGGCAGTCTTGAAGAGCAAGAGGTTGGGAGGAATAAAATGCCTTCACCTGTTCTCTCAGCTGCCATACTTCTTTTACTGAGCTCTGAGAGGTTTAGCAGGAGCCATCCTGAATTTTGTTTTGATCATTTATTGCATAAATTGCTTCTACACATCCAGTGTTATTCATCTTTATTGTTTATGTTATAAAGCAGCGGTCTCCAAACTTGACAACTTTAAGACTTGCGGACTTCAACTCCCAGAATTCTCCAGCCAGCACAAGTCTTAAAGTTGCCAAGTTTGGAGACCCCTGTTATAGGGTCTGTAGGTAGCAGCACCAGCTAATCTTGCCTGGACTCAGAGATTCTCTTTGGTTGGAACTTGAGTGGGAGAGTTCCAAGGAATCCTGGGCTGTAGGCTAGACTGGACAGGTAAACACATCTTGGAAGAGGGCAGTAACAAACAATTTCTGTACTGTTGCCAAGAATACTGCCTGAATGTGTTCAGGTTGTCACCAGGAGTTGAACTCAGTTTGAAGGAAGTTCATCTTTTACAATGCTATAATATAGTGCCCCCCAATCTTTTGGGCACCAGGGACCAGTTCTGTGGAGAGGTGTTTTTCTGTGGACTGGAGGGGGTATAATTTTTCGCATGCTGCCTATATCCCATGATTAGGGCTTTGCTTGTTTGTATGGATCGGTTTCTTTCACAGACTGGAGGTTGGGGACCCCTACTATAATGTACAGTGTGTGTTGAATTGTATTACACTGCTATACGCTTTCACTGCTGTACACTTCAAAATCTAACCAATGATTAGTTTTTGCAGTTCTTCCCTTCTAGGTAGATCAAACTATCAATGGTAGAAACATAGGACTGGAAAGGGCCATTTAGCTTTGGGTTGAACTTGATACTTGATACAACATTCAATCTAATCTCAATGGTGGGATCATAATAAAATATCCCTAACTGATATCCAGTGAAAGAAAGCCCAACATTTTTCTGAGTAATTGGTTCTAACTCAAAATTGTCTTACTTAAGAAGTTTTCTCTAAAGTTTTCATAGAGTCAACCATATCTCCCAAAATTCCTCATTGCTACTTGTGCTGACTGGGGTTTCTCAAAAATTGTTCAACAGTTCTAAAGGGTATCTGGTTTTCCATTTGTGCTGTATGCCACTGATGCTCTAGTTACAAGTCACATGCCAATCCCATCTCAATTTTTGGATCATAGCCCCCATAATTCCACTAAAATGTATTATTGAACTAATTTTTTAAAAAATGTAATTGAAAGGAAATATTAAATATATGAGAAGTAAATCATATTAACCAAATTAACTTAGAATTCATTACTTTTAAATTAATGATAATGTAAATAAAATGTAGTTTTAATAGGACATTGCTCTTTTGGTTATCCTGGCCCTGGTCTTGTTCTAGAGCAGGGGTGTCAAACTGGATTTCTTCTAGGGACGGATCAGCATTGTAGTTCTTCTCTATGGGCTGGCCGGGGGGGGGGAAAGAGGACGGGATGCCTCCTGGAGCACCCTGCTGGCCAAAAGCGGGTCACGTGCCCCCCGTGACCCGTTTTGATTGCCAGAGGCACCGTGGGCTAGTCCTTTGCTATTTCCAGGCCGGCCCTGTGGGACAGTTTAAGTACCCTGTGGGCCCACGAGCCTTCAGTTTGACACCCCTGTTCTATAGTCCTTGCTTTGTTATTCAGGAAATATAAGTTGCATGTTGATGCTTTACTCTTTACCTTAAAGTTAAATTTGCATTGTTTCATATAAACGTAGCAAAAGTAGGACTGTAAGCAGCCTATTGCTGCTTACATTTCCCAATTCCCATACAGCCTCTTGGCTTCAGTTTCCAGTATCTTCCTTTTCTCTTTTGCCAAGGGATTCATTTCCCATAAAAGATGCAAATGTTCCAATTAGTAGTTTTTACTAGATGACTAAGTTGCTTGTCTCAATTCTGCTACATGATCCCATGCCATAGAAGAGGAAGAACACCCAATGCATGAATTGTAGTAGGGAAATATATTGGTATTTTTATTTCTCCTTTTCTCACCCACCAAAAGGGGCATTAATTCAGCCTACTGATAGTTTGAATGTTTGTCAAAACTTTTGGACAATGTAATTTTTGAAGTTGAGTATAGGATTATGGATATTTAGTAGCAGCAAAGGACCAACTCATCAATCTTTATGTTTCTGCTGAGCTTACTTGAGATCAAAACATATTCAAATAATACAATAACTCTAGGTAGATCCAAATGTTTTCTGTTGCCCATATTTTCACCAGAGTGTTGCTGAGTTAAGCCAGGGTAGTATATATGATCTAATCACTCAATTTCAGTTTGGGGACATGATGACTATGAAATACAATTTCATACAATCATTAATTGCCAGAAAGGAAAAACAAAACAAAACTTTCAACCAAGATTAAAAGTATGGACTTTAGTATCATACAAAGTTTGGTTGGTGAAAGTTGTTAGCAAATGTTTAGGTTTAGAGCAGAGGTGTCAAACTCACGTCATCACAGCAGAGTCGCATGACATATCAGGACATTTTTCCCCTTCGCTAAACTGGGTGTGGGTGTGGCCAGCACGTGATGCATCCAGCCTGTGGGACCGGGAATTTGACAGCCTTCGTTTAGAGCACGCTTCCCATTCTGCATCCTGGGAACTTTCCAAAGATGTGGATTTCAAATCCTATGATTTCCAGGCAGTATGGCCATTGCTGAGAATTCTGAAAGAAAGTCCATACTTGATGGGGAGGGGATATCCAAGTTGAAGCCTAGAGGATCAAGAGCAGCTTAATGGCATCTGCAATAGAGGTTTGTGGGCTGTTTGGAAAAGGAGAGGGACAATATAAGATCCTACCTAAGACAAAGAGTCAGACCAAGTTGAAGTGTCCCCCAACTCAGTATGTTGCAAATATCATTCATAGAATAGGAATAATTTTGATTGTTTTAGTTGGTTGATATCTCACATTAAGCCATAGCATGGTTTGGGATAATTGAGATACTGTTATTTGAAAGTAATGGTATGTTATGCAAACGTAAAATTATGGCTACTTTAACCAAGGTTTGGTTATATAGCTGTAACTTAGAATGGTTGTAAATTCAATCTTTATATAACATAATTAATAGATTTTATGAAATATTAACTTGCAAAGGATTGGCATCCTTCAGTATACAGTGTTTGCTTGATATTGGACTTCTTTCTTTTATTTTATCAGTATGCAAGTGAAACACTCAAGAGTGTTTCAATCTCAGATGTCTGAATTCACTTTCCAAGAAGAGAAAGAAGCTGACACTGAAGAAAATAAAATTAATTGCTTTAGTAGTGGTATTTATGGAGAGCAGTATCCTTTATTAAAAGGATTAGCAAACCAGATATAGTTTCATTCTATGACCATAAGGCTTCTTTCATGATATGGATAGCATAGCCTGATTTCACCCTTCCAATTTCTTGTTTAATTTAAATAACTACAGTTTGTCTAAGTGCAACACCTACATTTCTAAGGGATGTAAATATCAAATAATGTACATAGTGCTTAATAGTTATATTCCTTTCTATGCACAAAGCACATTTTAGCACTTAAGAAAATTATCACAAAGTCACTGAAATAGGCGTGAGGTGGGATCTTTGCTCACTAACACATTTTAAGGGAACCCAGCCTATACTGTAGTGATAGAAAAAGTTGCTGGCATAATGATGCATTGTCTCAGCTCTTTTGGCATTCCTCTATGTTTTACTATTGGCTGGAGTTCTGTGATATAGAAAACAGTGAGATAAGGCTACATAAATCATGGCCTGTGCTCAAGGAAAAGTGAACATCAGGGGAACAGAAGGTACAATTAGTTTTCCCCAGCCATTCTGAAGATTTTGTGAATCACTAAGGAAGAAAAGTTATGTACAGTTCAGTTATGTAATGCAATTTTCCTATTCTGATACTTGATACTTAAACCTCTTGCAGGTTCTAACAATCTGTGCTTCTATAGTATGAGATGGATCAATCCAAGTAATTGCTAAAGGAAAATGTAACCCTATTTAAATTTGTATTGAACCCATAAAGCAAAGCTAGCTCAAGCTCATGCCATACTTCTTCCTATGTCATCTTCATTACAGAACACAATTACCAGCATCAACAAAGAACTACAGACCTTCCAGGCACAATTTGAAGATGCAATGGCTGCACACCAGAAAGAGGCCAAACGTTTAAATGAACATATAAAGGAGCTGGCAAGAGAGAAAGAACTTAGTGGGCGGGAGGTATGTATGTCTCTTTAGCTGTCATGTCTGGCCATTTCTTCTCTATCCTTATTGAATATTGGTCCCCAAAAGTGGACTGCATATCCATTTTTCAGCATGGGCTATCAGTGCAGGCTGAGAATATAGACAGATTTGAAATCTAAAGTCTTCTGCTTCCATAGAAGTTAAGAGTGATAAATGTTAGCAGAAACACCTGACAAAACATTTTAGGAAATAGATGTTAGAGATGCGCCATTCTTCAAATGTCAGAGTAATATGATGAAGGAGGAGGTTATAATATGATATCAATTCATGACATTGCCACCTCTGGACAGACAAATTTAGCAAGCTTTGAAACACTGCAAACCTCTCTAAAAGGACATCAGCTATGTCCGAGAGCAGAATCAATCCATTCCTAGATTTGCTGGGCTGTATTTGAAACTGCCGTGGAACTTTTCCTGAAGAGCTGTTGGGCAGTCTGTTTCCCCTTTTGCAGAAATTCTTACCCAGCTCTTTTCTCTAGCATATTCTCTGGGTTTCCAGGACAGCAGAACTTGAAATTATAATAGGTCAGTTTCACAATGTCTTTGAGAGTTTGGGGAATGGAAATGATTATACAAATGGTGCCGTGTTGTTCCCTGGATGAGTTTAAACCCCAGGGGCTTTTATCATAGCACGTTGAACTTGTTGAAAAGCTGTCATCTGCATGTATTCTGGATGGATGTGGCCTCCTGCAGAGCATGTGGAGTATCCAATGTGTTCCCAAGATGGGTATTGGCTAGAGAAATTGGCACTGATCCAGCTAGTCAGTGCCTTTACTCCAGTTCCAACACCGGCTTGTCATTGGTTAAATTGGAAGCAGAAATCACTGTCCACCCTGTCATATCCCCACTTTTTAATATCCAACTCTAGAGGGTGGTTTTTTTTTTACATTCTTCCAAATATCTGCAACTCTGAAAAACTTCCCCAGATGGTAACCCTCACCCACTGCCAGATGTTTCCAGGGTTCTAATTCTTTATAAACTGAGAACGCAGAACAAAAATGACCCCCAGCCTGAGGGAGGAAAGAGAAAGAAAGGGATGGGGTGAGGGGGAAATAGAAAATTAAAGGACATAAAAGAGGAAAAGAGAGTAATTTAACATGACAGGCTGTTTATTTTGGCAAAAAATAGCCTCCTTTCAACAGATTTCAAAGTCCAGCCCCAGGAGGGACCACACAAGCAAGAGAAGAGGGTTGTTTCAGAGGGCAGGGAGGGCAGAAGGAATGGGGATGGGGTGAAGGGGTGAGGAAGATCTTCAGAGATGAAGGCAGGATGGGCAGAGAAAGACTAACAGGATGGGAACAGAGACAACAGCACGCAAGAGAAAGAGGGAGAGGGGAGGGGGAGAAGTAAGTTGAGGGACTAATATAACAAGCTGAGGGCAAAGAAACACAGAGCAAAATCCTCACAGGCGCCAGCATTGACCTACTTATCACCATGGGAACCATAACATTTTCACAGCCTTTTAACTTGAGGAAGTCAGCCTTGAGTTGAACAGAGCTGCCCTCCCATATGTACAAGAACACTGACACGGACTTTTCTGTGCATGTACACTCCACATAACAATAGTTAAACATGGCAGTCTATTTTGGCAAGCCGCCAGTAGCATGTATCTGTCCGTTGCTCAGCTAGAGATTCTTGTTGTCCAGGATTCTCATGTACCTATCTGTTCTTTTTATGTAAACTTAATTATTTGAATTCACAGACTATGTGTGTGTGTGGAGTCACACTTAAATGCACGTTCACTCCTACCCATGCAACGCGTGTCTTTTTCTCCCACCCTAGATACCTTCTTCCATGTGTCTAAGCCTCAGCTGGAGGCTTGGCAACCTAGGCATGATTTCAAAAGAGGCTGTTTATAAATGTTAGTCAATATATAATTATAATAATTTCATTATGAGCTTAGTTGCAATATTCTTGTGAAGGAGAAAACACAGAGAGGAATTAACCAGGAAAGAGTGAATGTGAATGGGGGGAGGGGAAGAGTTTTGTGTGATGTTTTCTTTTCAGTCCCATCCCCTGCAAACCCCCTCTCCTTATCCTGGGGAATAAAAACAGTTTATTTTATGATGGATCGCCCTTCTCTTTGGTCACTGACCTTTCTTCGTGAATTTCTATTGAGCTCAGCAGAAAAATGCTGAGTGCATTTGTGGATCCCATATGTGGGTGGGGGCTGGTAGAAAAAGGGTCTCACCCTAATCCTTCTCAAAAACAGAACAACAATAACACAGAGCTGGTTGGAATGAGCCAGGCCAACAGGGAGGATCTGGATAATGTTAGAGCTTTTCAGAGTAAAAAGATTTTTTTAAAAAAAGAAAAGAAAACTCAAAAGAAAAACATAGGACATTGAGGTTCTTATACAATTCTCCTACCCTTCCCCAAAAATACACAGGGCACAGGTCATTTCACAAACAAGAACAGCTTTCCAAGGAAGGCTGAATAAAATCCAGGCCATTCTTTCTTCTCCATTTTAATTCACACTGAAGTTCATGGGAAAGCTGTTAAGATGTTCTGTGGCTGTCCAGCTGAAGTTCAAATGGTACATGTGCACTGATACCAGTTTAATCTAGGAATTTCATCTATGTTGTCATTTGCAATTATTCGGATACTTCAAAATTGATCTTCCATTTTTACTGCTGTCGTTTCTTCCAACCTTTTGCTGTAAATCCTTTGTTGGTAGACCCCATCCTCTCTTGCAGACAAGGTGGAATTAGTAATCTTTTATGTAATTCAAGAATGGGAAAGAAATCAGGGAAGAAGGAAAGTTTCGAGGACAGATCTGTAGACCTCATCAAGTTGAAGAAGATTGCTATATTTTTGCAATACAATTCCCGCAGAGCAGATATAGTCAATTCTCAGTATTTGCAGGTTCTGTATTTACAAATACACTTACTTGCTTAAATGTATTGTAACCCCCAAATCAATACTCAGAGTACCTTCATGGTCGTTCACAGATATATGCAGAGTGGCAAAAAAAAAAAAAATTGACTTACTCAATGTGCACATTCTCAACTGAGGTCGAACAAGGTGACACTCTGCCTTCTGGGTCCTATATTTCCCTTACGATCATTGATTGGGTATTTGCTCATTCAGAGCTCGCAGCAACTTTACAGATCATTATTATCACAAATAACACAAACTGACTGCACTTTTTTAAAAAATCAATGTAATTCTCTTAATATAGACATACAAAACTTCTCAGTGTAGAGTGTATGAAACAGAACAGCCTTAAGATTACTGAAAGCCATGAGCTATTATTATAGTCAGTTTTCAATTCTTCCAATTAATTCTTTATTTGCTTCCTTCCAGATAACACATTTGCTCTCTTCTTACTCATTTTCACCCTGAAATCTACATGCATATACAGTACTGACATCTTCAACAATATATCACACTATCTTGATAACTAAGAGCCATTTACTGGGAGATGCATAAACTACAAATTTTGCTCGTTCTTCAGCAGAGACACAAGTTCAAGCTGAGATAAATCTACATTTCATCACATTCACTCTTGAACACATTCCTTATTTAAAAGTAGTAAAAAGGTTAAAATTAACAGAGAGTTATATGAATTGAAGAAACCTCATATCTTAGGTTGTCAGCTAAAATGTTACATATTAGTTGGTGCTCTCAGTGCTGGCTTGACCATATATTGCCATGAATATTTTAGAATTTTAGTTTGAGAAGGAGGGGTGGTGTTGGCACCTCCTAATGTTTGGCAACAAATTATAAGGCTGCTTTTGAGTATCTTGGCTTTCCCTCAGGACTCAGAAGTTACAGGAATAGCAGTTTCTATTCTTGTTTCCGTCTCTTTGGAAGCAGTGGTCAGGGCAGAGTGTTGGCATTTTTATAATGTTTAGGCTTTATTTACAAATACAAAATCTGAGCATTATACGAAGCATCAAGCTGAGAACAAGGGAGGGTCATGTAATGTGTCAGTGAGAATGTTGGACTTGAACAAGAGAAATACTCTGTTTCTAGTCCATAGTCATGGAAGATTACTTGATATCTTTTAGCCAGTCGCTCTTTCTTAAACCAACCTACTCGTCATGGTTATTGTTCTTTTTCAAGACCAGAATTTTGCCTCACTCTTTCCTTCCCTTCCCCGCTCTCTCTCTTTTTTAGTTTTCCAAAACCAGCTTCATTTGTCCTTTTTATGAGCTGCTCTAATTGATATTATCCTTGTTAGTGTGGGGAACGCACAATAAAATATGTCAGTTTAGAAGGAGATTTGTATCAGAAAACCATATTTTAACAATCAACTTCTATAAAACAACATTACTGTCCATTAATATTATTTGCCTGACAAAAATATTAGCCACAAGCTACCTTAGTAACAATATGAAAGGTAGGTCAAATTTTCATTAGAAATTTTTTGTCTAATATTTCAGACAGTGACATATCATCATGACTCATTTCTCATTTAAAAAGGAAGTCAGTAAAATTCTACAGTATAAACTTAACATTCAAAAGTAAGTCCTACTGAACACCTTTCTTCTTAATAGACATATATATCATTCTAATATATTTTGTTTTTATTGCTACTTTCCCCTTTAGTTAATATACACCAGCTCAGTGTTAGGCTTTAGATTAGGATTATATTTCCCCAAAACTTGCATTATAAATACTTCCTTTGTTCAGATATAGATAAAATAAAAAGATTGCTGAAGTTCAATATAGTTGGAGGGGCAAATTTTACTCAATTGCAGATGTGTGCCTTTCCCTCTGGAGATCAAATTTTCATCTGCATGTTTTAATCAATCAACCAAAACTACAATCCACTGCATACTGACCATATGATACAGATAGAAGAGAATATTTGTGGTTCAGTCTTGAAAAGTGGGGTCCTTGGTACTTTCTGAGCTTGATTGTTTTCTTGCAGATGTTTCACTACCAACTAGGTAACATCACCTAGACCATCCTAGCACTGATGATACCTAGTTTAGTAATGAAACATCTGCAAAAAAGCAGCCAAGCTCAGAGAGCACCAAGGACTCCATGACCGTTGAATGATAGGACTTATTTCTTGGTAGTAGATGCCTAATAACATGTGCATGGTTCCTTTAATTGTGTGTTTTGCCTCCAACCTCACTCTGGAACTACACCAATATCAATTTCGCTGGAGTAAATTCCCTAGAAGTCATTAAGCTTATTTTCCAAAATGCCTTAAAATTGATGTAGCTTTTTCTTAAAGGTCGAACAGTTCAAAGTCCAACTACGGTTGGCAGAAGATACCCATGCAGATGTTCACAAAGAACTCACTGAGCTTCACCAGAGACTGCAGGAGTCAGAAGAGGCGTGTGATCAGCGACAAAAAGAGCTACTGGAATTTCACAGGGCTGTAGCAGATGAGAGCAGAGAAAAGGAAGCACTTCAGAAGTCCAATGCTGACCTCAGAACAGCTGTCAAAAAAACAGAGAATGAGAAGCTCAGGTCAGCAGACTTGGCACAGTGTCAGGCTGGGAGAAGAAGCTGATACACATTGATGGAACAGACATATGTTTTTAGCAATGACTGATAATAAACACTTGACCTCTTGTAGACTGCAGAGAATCAAGGAAGAACGAGAACAGAAGATTGCCATTCTGGAAGAAGCAAAAGCCGCAGTTGAGGTAGAGGTGGGAGAGCTCCGAGTAAATCTACGGGAAGTAGAGAAGGCACACATGGAAGCCAGAAGGGAACTTCAGGAACTGCGCAGAGAGGTAGCTTACAAACAGACTTTCTTGTTGTTCAATTCAGGTCCAAGAATGTAACAGGTTGATGAAGAGAAACACTTGACATGATCAATGGAGGTTAGGAAGGATGTATGCAAGATCATTTGACATTACTGTTAATTCCTGAGATTGATACCTAAATAGAGCGAACTATAGCAAATTAGTAGCATCATCCTAAATGTACTTATTGCTATTATTTGAAAATCCTTTGGAAAGTATCCTGCTATCGTTTTTCCATGTAATGACTGTCTCTTCAATTATGATGTAGTTTTGTCCCTAGAACTTCTTTTCCTTTTCAGGCCTTCCTCATATCATGACACATATACAACCTACAGGCAGTATGTTCTCACTGAAGAATCTGTTAGTTTTCTATTAGACTTCTATGTTTGGGGTATGATACAGTCAACCATGGCAGTTAGTTACCAATGATGGCAATACTTTTATGCAGACGAGTCTACATGTAGGTTGGGAATTTGGGGCACATATTCTGAATGGAAGAGTAGCTATATCCAAATTCTTCCTTCACAGGTAAAGTCCCTGGAGAGCAAGCACAGCAAGAAAACCCAGGAGGTCACTGAATTACAACATCAGTTGCTGCAAAAAGAACAACAGGAACAGCAGAACAGCAAAGAGGTCCTGGATCTTAAACAGAAGATATCTACTCTGGAGATTGGCCATGATTCTGCTCACAAGGAGGTAACAATGAGATAATAGCAAAGAGCAATTATTTGATGGGAGAAGAACTGAAGATAACAGATAACAGATAATCAGAGTTGGAAGGGACCTTGTAGGTCATCTAGTCCAGCCCCCCATCCAAGCAGGAGACCCATACACCAAGAGTAAGTTGAGACAGTGAAAGAAGGCAGCATTTTGTCAAAGAATGCAATGGAGATAAGATGTGTGATAAACTGCATACTTAATGGGATAAGGATGTAATTGTGAAGACCAACCCATATAGTTAATAGAGTATTTTTATGTGTAATGGAGATGAAGTGTCCTTTTGAGTTGAAGTTGACTTGGTGACTTATAGAAAAATAGAAACATAGAAAATTGATGGCAGAAAAAGACCTATGGCCCAACCATGTGATTTTCTTAACAATAGTATATGCTAAGAAATAATCTGCCACTAATTTTTTTTCCAGGATTTTTTTCCCATTTCCCTATTTAAAACTTCAGCTCTGTAATTTTCTGGAATCTCTCTTCCATATATACATTGCCCTCATGACTTTGTTTCCTTCCAGGTGTTGAACTTGCAGAAGAAGCTGTCTTCTGCAGAGGTAAAATCCCAACTTCAAGAGCAGGATTTAAAGCACAGCCTTGCAGAGAGTTGTATCAAGGAGAAAAAGTGGAAGGATGAACTCCATAGCCTGGAAGTGAAGCTTCAGGAAGCAAGCAGGTCAAATGAGAATCTCCAGCTGCGCCTCAGCACCTGTGAGGGATGTATCCATGGCTTAGAAACAGAACTAGCCAAAACTGAAGCAACCAAGAGAGAGGTTGAACTGAAGTTAGTGGCAGTCCACTCCACTCTCCGTCGCACACTGGGACTTGGCAGTCGGAGTCCATCTCCCCAACGATCCTTGTCTCCAGTCAAAGGTTATTTTAAAAATTCTTCTCACTGCTATGGGCTAAATTAGATTAGCAACTCAGAATCTTTTGGAGTGCGCAGTTATAATAGATTCATAAATGTAATTAAATTAATGAACAAACAACTGGAAAATTGCTGTATTTTGAACCAGGGGAATGAAATACTCTAGGGGTCAGTCTTTATATTGTATAATACCATAGCTTTAAATGTGATTTATTGAATAAATCCATAGTTGATTTATGGCACTAATCCATAAATCATGATTTACAAACTACAAAGGCAGAATTTGGAAACTATACTAATCAAAACTATGTATTTAATAGCTTCTTATCTCATGTACCTTAGCCAAAAAGAATTTCTCCATAGCTAAAAGGCAGTTCGAAAGCTTTGTGGACAGTGGTGGTATAACCATCTGAAAAGATGTAAATAGCTAATTATGGTAATATCCTCTCCTTAGGCAGCAGAAAGCTTCTACAAATTAAAAAATATAAGATCTGTTAGATAACCTTATTGATTAAATGAATGAATGAATCCTAAATTATGTAGTCTGTTAAGTCTTTTCTTCTGGAAATCCATTTCAACCTTGTCCTTTGGCTGAGACCAAGCAAGTACTTGGTTTTTTTTTTAATAGGAACCAGTGGACACCAAACACCTGCATCTCGCACTGGTTCACCTGAGAGGAGCCGCTCCCGTTCACCATTTCATCGAACTTCTCCCCTCAGGAGTGAGCAAACCACAAGTGAAATTGATCCAGAAGTAGTTCGAGATGCTTTGAAAGACTTCCTTCAGGAGCTACGGGATACCCAAAGAGAGAGGGTAAGCAAGGTCAAACATTTCTTCTAAGTTCTACCCTCATAGATTTAAATGGTATAAATTCATGAACTTTGAAAAACTCATAGCTATGAATTTGGTGTTTTATAAAACTATAAGAGCACATTCACTAATTTATCACAATCTGAATGCAGGGCAACTTTATTTTAATAAAGCTAATGCTAAGGAGTTGTGGCAAAATAGTGCCTTTATTTTTGTGCTTCTGTTCATATTTTACTGTCAGTACAAAGAAACATTAGTCCTCATATCAATTGAAGGAGAAGTTAAAAATAAAATCTATAATTAGGTGACTATTAAAAATAGGTTTTATAATCCATTGATTTCCATTAGATTATCCATATTCTTTCAAATCTTTGTTCAATTCCTTCATTCATAGGACCAATCCAGAGAAAGTGGAATATTCTAAGGTTGAAATTCATTGTACAAAAATTGAGACTTACTTATGAACATATTGAAGTAGCAACATTTAAGTATTAGGAAGTATGCTTAAGACATAAATAGAATAGGTCTGGAATTATGCACTAGAGCCGTGATGGTGAACATATGGCATGCGTGGCACAGGTGGCACGCAGCGCCCTCTCTGTGGGCACACAAGCCTAGTTCAGCTCTACCGCGCACGCCTCCTGCCAGCCAGCTGGTTGTCGGGTCTCTGGTGCGCATGTGCAGGAGATGGGACATGTGCGGGGAGTGGAGTGGGGGGGCACACACGCATGTAGGAGGTTCATGCAGGGGACAGGGGGCATGCACATGGTGGTTGCATTTGGGGGGTTCAGGCAAGCCCATCTGCTTTGGGCAGTCCGTCAGGAAAATATTAGCCATCACTGCACTAGAGTCTCTGTTCTGCTCTTCAGCCTATGTAAGAATGCATCCCTTAAGCATGTGTTTCTAGGCATCCACTTGAAATAATATGCCATGCTTTTTTTCAGTATCCTGTTAGCTTTAAGGGCGTTTACTAGAAATTATCATCAAAGTTTCAGCGTGATTATTTGAATGCCTGGAGAGCATTATGCACATAAATCTATCTAATCATTCTGGATCAAAGCCAATAATGGCTTAAAATATGTAACAAATAAATTAGTCCATTTCTTTTACTCACAGCAAAAATGGTTTATTTTATGTAATGCTATGTTTTAGCACTGATAATCTCCACAGTTGTCATCATCATCAACAACATTTCTAGAGCATCAAGTCCTTAAGGACTTTCGATAATGTACAGATAAAATACATAATAAATAATAAATAAACATGCAATAAAAGGACAATATAAATAAATAAAAAGTACACAAATACTACTGAAAAATTAGTAATTATATTAGGTGAATTAAACCAAAGTAAATAAACTAGGAAATTAATCTGAGGAGCTTCTGGAAGGTAAACAGAGTGGAAGCCAACCAGATTTCCATTGGGACATCATTCCAAACAGCTGAAAAGTAGCATAATAATGCTTTGCCACTCTCACTCCCCTAAATTTCCTAACTACTATATCATTAGTACTTTTTTCTGGTGAATCAAGCTGATTAGGCCCATTCCAATGAGAGAATGCAGTTCTGCAAATAACTAGGTACCAAATTATGTAAGGCTTTATGGACTAGTACCATGACTTTAAATTGCATCCAGATGCCTATTAGAACCAGTGCAGGGCTTGCAATGAGTTGCTCCCATCAGCAAACAGTGTCCAGTTGTAGACCACTTTCCTCTAAACCAGAGGTGTCAAACTCGATTTCATTGAGGGCCACATCAGAGTTGTGTTTGACCTCCAGGGGCCAGTTGTGTTTGACCGCTGGGGGCATGGTTGGGGTGGGCGTAGCCAGCTCATGTTGGGGTACCTGTGGTGGCCCGAGCACCCTACCAGCGAAAACTGGCTCCCGAGCTCCGTTTTTGGCTGTGACAGCCTCCTGTAACCCTCTGCCAGTGAAAACAGAGCTCGAGAGGGTCACATGGCCGTCATATGCTCTGTTTTGGGCTGTGATGGCTTCCTGCAACCCTCTGCCAGCAAAAATGGAGCTCCGGAGGGCCACAGGCAGCCCTCTGGAGCTCCATTTTTGTTGGCAGAGGCACCGCGGACCAGTCCTTTGCTGTTTCCAGGGCAGCCCCGTGGAATCTAAGCACCCTGCAAGCCAAATCTGGCCCCCAAGCCTTGAGTTTGACACCCCTGCTCTAAACCAACTACAGTTTCTGAGTGATCTTCAAGGCAGCCCTATGTAGAGCATGTTGTTATAATCTAAACAGATGGTGATAAGAATATGAGTCACTGCAGCATGATTTCCACCACCCCCCACACACGAAAGTTTATAACTGGCTAACTAGCCAAAGCTAGGAAAAATCTTCCCACCCTACCCCCAGGAGTCACAGCCTTAATTTGCTATTCCTGAAAAATCCCCATCCATGAACCTGTATCTTCATGAGTAGAACCTTCCCATCAAGTGATACCACTGGAGCAGACAGAAAACCCCATGGAGAAACAGTAAATTCATTTTTAAAAAATTCAGTTTAAGCCTATTCTCCCCCACCCATCTTTCAAAACTGAGACTTCAATGGTATCACCAGCCTGGGGTAGCAATGTGGAGCTGGGTATTATAAACATATTGATATTAGAGAACTGCCAGCTAGGCTGGCAGGAGGGATCAAGTGAGAGCCTAGCTTGGAGTTATTGCGTAGCCACAAACAGCATAAGCATCACCTCCCTCTAAATCCATAAAGCCTTATCTGGTCAGTTTCAGGGGAAGGCAAGCAATCTGGTGAGATTCTTATGGCACTGTATTACAATGCAGGTGATGAACAATAAATTTCCAGCCTGAGGTTAACTATGAGTTTTCTGGTTGCTTGCACCTGAAATTTGATGAAACCAATCCCCAAAAACTTTTGATGAACTTGCCTGGTGCCTTCATGTAAATGTTAAATAGCAGAAGGAGAGAGCTGACCCTTGCAGCACTCCGCAAGGGATTAAGCATGATCTCTCCTGTCCCACTAGCACCAAATGGAATTGTTGATAAAGAAAAGTAGATGAACCAGTGCAATACAGTGCCATTTATATACATGACAAGATAATTTACAAGCATAAGATCATGGTATGAACTTAGAAGTAAATAACAAGCTGTAAAAAGAGCACTGTTGCTAGGTACAAACTGTTACTCTTGGGAATAAAAGACTTTTGTTCCAATCCCACCTCTGCTATGGTTGGGTTGATATATAACATGATACTATTAGAGATTTTGTTTGTTTTGGCTTAGTATGAAGTATGCATCTTTCCACTATAGCTGGGGGGTTTTTTGAGAAAATTTGTGAAGGCATATTGTTTCTTAAAAATTGCATATATAGTTTTGTGAACCAGAGAGGGATATTCAAAATTCCTTCCAGTTCATTTATCTAGAACTGAAAATCATCTAGCTATTCTAACTCCATTTTGCAAGGATCATGTGAGCCAACTTAACTTATTGTGACCCCAAGTTGACTCCCAAGACATATGTTTAGCAACATTCAAGGGCAGTTCAGCCCTTTCTCTGTCATGTGCTATTTATTGCTCAAAAGCATGCCTCTTGTAAAAATGAATAAATATTTATACTGTACCAGAATAATTTAAAAAACATGGCTTGTCACAGTAATCATAGCATCAGATCATCCAACAGCCTTTCTGACAAATGAAGAAATCAGTTAATTCTGGGCTACATCACATTTAAAACATTCCTTGCTTTGTTGTCCTGTCCACCAAGATCCTGGAATTTATTGTTAACTTGTGTAAACTAGAAAGGAAAAAAAAGGGGAAAGTATCTACAAACAATAACAACATTTTTCAGTTAACACTTTAGGAGCTATAAGAAACTCAGTGTTCTTGTACAGGCCTGATGCTTATTTACTTATTTAGTTGTAAAGAAAGCTATGTAGCCTCGAAACTGAAGGTGTTTTGAGTTAGTAATAATTGTTTCCAAGGCCGCTGGCCTTCGCTTCAAGGAAGAAGCTTCAGAGCAGGATTTGATTTGTACAGTGAGAGTTTTTTGATAATACAGAGATTGAAATTGAATTATACTGTAATTTTCCAGTGCCCAGGAAAACTGCCTCAGACAGACCCTTTTGGGCAAAGGTATGCAATGATAGAGGATGGTAGATCCTCCACATTGAGGAAAATGGGATAAAACCTGAATTTAATTTAAATGTAAATTTAATCAATTAAATAGGTAATATGAATTTCTCCAGGCACAAGGACTTTGCAGATCCCCCTCTTTTTATCACTTCCAAATCCAAGGCATTTTGGATAAGCAAACATTGTTGATAAACTGTTTAGTTCTTTGGGGATAGGCAAGGCCATACTTTCAGAAAGGAAGAGTCTTCTGCCAAATTAAGAGCCTGATATACATAGCAGGTAGTCTATTTCTGTCTAAGACTTGAGCAACACTAATATTTCTAAAATATGAAGGGCTACTTCTTTCATACCATACAATTCAGTAAAATGTCTTCAGTTACAGGGGTGGAACATGAAATCGTTTTTTTGTAAGGCAAGAAAACTATTTGAGTTAGCTGTAGAGTATGACAGTACAATATTTAATGCTTGCTTATGTCTCAAGAGCAATAAAAGTATGAACTAGTTTGGTTGAGAATTATTTCTCTGAGAAATTATTGGCAATATTATGTGTCATGTTATCAATAATGGTCTGATTACCGGTGATCTATCATTTGTTGGAAATGCAGTTACTTTGCTGTAATTTTAAATATGTGTTTTATTTAATGTTGATTTTAGGATATGTATTGTTTGTAGTTGTAGTTTCAAGATGGACTACATAGTTGTTTTAACAGTTGTCCATATTAAAAATTACTCTTGTGGCTTAGTAAAGCAAATTATAGACAGTATAAAATACATTTAAAAAAATAAATGTATCCGGTGTGAGTTTTATATCTTTCCTGACAACAAGCCAATGATATAATGAATATGTCCTATCTCTTGTTTCCAGGATGATCTAAGAATTCAGGTGATGAATATGAGTCATCAGCTGAATGAAATGGATGCTGATCGCGACCAAACCCAAAGCCGTATCCTGCAACTCCAGAAGTATTTAGCAGACTGTGAGGAAGGTCTGTTCTTTTTCTTCTTCCCTTACTTTATCCCTTCATCCATAAGAATTTCTTCACCTATCTGTTTTTTCACCTCGAGTTATTTGCTTGTTTAGTTGGATAAACAGAGTCATGCGGCAAGTTGTATACAAAGCAAATGAAATGAATCCCTAAACTTCTTAAAAAGCTGCTTAGAGACTGCTGCTTTAAGTGAAAGAATAGTGATCTAAGGGCAGATGTTTGATCTCCACGCCAGATGTTTCTCTGCTATGAATATGCTTTTTTCCACATATGGATCAAGATTGTGTGGATTTAGACATTCAATCTGGACTGAGCAGCAGATTCAGGACATGGAGAGAGGTCAGGAAGAGGATTAAGCTTATCTCTGCTTTAATTGCTTTTCTTCTTAAAATTGCAGCTCCAAAAGCTGCTTGTCATTTAAAAAGCAAATGCTGGGAATTAGTTACATATACGTGCAAATCATATTTACTCCTCATGACTATAATCAAGTGGGCATCCCTAACAACTTTAAAAACAAAACAAAATCAAATATTGTATAGGACCTGTGATTTTAATACACCAAAAGATTGTAAACCAATGCCAGGAAATTCTTATTAGATGGAAATCGTAATTGTACCACGGTTAGACATGTGAAGCTCCCACCTAATTTTCTACTGCAGGTAGTTAGTGACTTACAACCATTTGTTTACCGACTGTTCAAAGTTGCTGCAGCACTGAAAAAAGTTACTTACAACCAATCCTCACAACCATTGCAGCATCCCAATGCCATGCGATCAAAATTCAAGCGTTTGGCAACTGGCATGTATTTATGATGATTGCAATGTCCCAGAATAATGTGATAGCTATTTGTGACCTTTCCAGATAGCTTTTGATAATCAAAGTCAATGGAGGAAGCCAAATTCACATAACAATCATGTGTTTTCTTTAACAACTACAGTGATTCATTTAACAACCATGGTAAAAAACTGCAAATGCACAACTCAACTTAACAAATACCTTGCTAGCAATGGAAATTCTGGTCCCAATTGTAGTTGTAAGTTGAGGACTACATGTATAGTTGTGCACAGAAAGGTTTAGGAAAAGGTAGGGCCATCTGAGGGTCTTTTTCATGCATGGCTGTTTTTACCATATAGCGTCATGAATAAATGAATGCTTTATTAATTTGGAGATTCTGCCATTCATAAGAAATGACTAATTATAATTGTTCAGGTATCACTGCAAGCTGCCTATGGTTTCTATAGTGTACCATAAATGTCTATTTTTCAATAAAAACAACCAAAGATGCTACTATGTTTGTTCATTGATGGTCGTAACATGATTTCACATGATATGGGAGGCCTTTATTATCCTGGAGTTTATTGCATTATTTCATGTTTTAACTGATCAGGCATGTACAATACTACTACTAATATTAGACAAGACTCTATAGTGGGTAGGCCATTTGGTGTTCTTTTGATGGTTTGGATTACAACTCCCGGAATCCTTTGTCATTAGCATGTTGCTTAATGAGACTGTAGCCCAAAACTTCTGAAGGCCACAAGCTTTCCCACTCATACTGCAGAACAGTATTTCTCAACCTCAACACCTTTAAAATGTGTAGACTTCAATCCCAGAATACTCCAGTCACCATTCTGGGAATTCTGGGATTTGAAATCCACACATCTTAAAAGACACTCAGGTTGAAAAACACTAACGTAGAATAAATGATTTCACTGCTTAATCCTTGCATTTTGCAATTTTCTACATTTAGGTAAAAGGGGAACAGATGGTCGCCTGAGCAGTGCACAAGTAGCACTTATGCTGCAAGAGGAAACTATTCGCAAAACAGAACAGGAACGCCAGGCATCTGCAGAACAGGTGCTCAACCTGGAGCGCAACTTACGTATTTGTCAGGATAGGAACAAAGAATTACAGGTGAGCATATTTTCTCTTTCAGTTAGGAAAAACCATTTCAGGTTATAAAATAGCACAACTTCCTTTTCTATGACATTCTGCTTGCTACTCAACAGCCCAGCCAGCTCTTGAAAAGCAAAGTAAATGTACAAAGAGCTTGCAAAAAGAACAAGATTTAAAGAAACCCACAAAAGGTTTAATGACAAAAGGCATTATGAAAAGTTGTTAATGCACACAGGTTACATTGTGGCCAAAGATGCTTTCCTAAAAAATGCATTTTGTGAAATACAGTAGGATTTACCTCTGAGGAAGTCCACTTCATACTGTGAACAGGAGACTGAAGTAGAGTGACTAGTACTGACTTTGGAAGTAACAAATACTAAAGAATTTTGTAAAAGCTAGTCCACAAATTTAGTCCACATAAATTTTGAAGAATTATCATTGTAAGAACTGTAATATTTTCTCTTTGATGGGGAAAATTATAGAAAAGCAATTACATCCTCTCTTCTAATAGAGGTTTGTATAAATGAATGCCAAAGAATCTCATAGAAGGATTGCTGATTCTACCATTGGAAGGACTCACTGGAGAAGAGCCTAACACTGGGAACGATTGAGGTCAAAAGAGGAAGGGGACAGCAGAGAATGAGGTAGCTGGATGGAGTCACTGAAGCAGTCGGCGTGAGCTTAAATGGACTCTGGGGGATGGTAGAGGACAGGAAGGCCTGGAGGAACATGGTCCATGGGGTCGCGATGGGTCAGACACGACTTTGCGACTAACAACAAATTGTTTTTATTCAAATTGTCACTCAGCATAAAACAGTTTGCAAGGAGTTTTATCTAGTATCATCTGCCTTTCTAACACTTTTTCTTTTCTTTTCATTACTCTAATGCTGTCATAAGGCTATTATGTGGTAAGTTTTTATATAAACTGTTGTATTGCCACGTTGGTCTTGGCTGTATGGTAAACAAGGATGCTTTTATCTGGAGAAAAGATGTAAAGATGCAATGAGAAGCTGCCTGAAAAGGGACCACCTTGAATAGTCACTGCCCTTGACTTTACTACAGTGTTTCTCAACCTAGGGCCCTTTAAGATACTTTGCTGGCTGAGGAATTCTGGGAGCTGAAGTCCTCACATCTTAAAGGACCCTAGGTTGAGAAACACTGCTTTACTATATTATTCACTACTCATCATGTTCTCATCTATGTAACATTCTTAATTTATAAAGAAGAAGAATATTGATGTAAATATTTTTTTAATGTATTGCAGTTAATTTATTTCAATTATGATGCTTGTTTTGTTAATTAACATAGAATGTCCCCAAACCCTTTCCCCCTTTTCCTAGTAAATTTCTCTTTTTATTACATCTTACATTCTTGTTTTGATCTGATTTACACAAACATTGTAATGTTACTGCCCATCTTTTGTTCCCTCTTCATTTCTCTAAAATTGAGAATTATGTCAATGCACTGCACACAGTTTTAGAACAATGAAATCTAGGGATAGTGTTATACTTGCTTTTCCTTGTACTGTATAGCCAAACAGAACAGCAACTCATATAACTGTAACCATTAGGAATTATGTCCTTTCTTAATTTCTAATGCATGACTTTTGTTATATTGTTGTTTTTATCCACAAAGAGAACTTTATTATTAAGCAGTTAATAAGCAAAAGTATTTAGCAACGCAAAATGTTGCCATATCCAGATTCTCTATGACTAGTCCAAGCAACTTTCTAAAAGTAGAAGCCCCAAGTGGTACCTACTAGAGGCCAAAAAGCTCAGAGAGGACAGGTCAGCAAGGCAACAAATCTGCAGCAAGGAGAGAGCCCAAAATTGCAAAGTACCTCCCAAATTCATTAAAAGAAAAAGACTGAGTGGAGAGACTTCTGTCTCAACTGAGATAATATCCATCAGGAGTGGGTAAAGACCAGGTTCTCTTAATTAGCGTTCTCATTGTCAGATGAGTGGGCATTGCATTAATTTGCTTTCTTCGACTAGATACTGAGTGGTGAAGATAGTGCTAGTAGTCAGCAAAAGGAGGTTTTAGTTGACCTCTGTAATAACACTCCTAGGTATAAGATGTTCCCATAATTTAATATGAGGTAGTCATGTGCCTCTTTAGATATGTTTCCCAGGAAGGGAGACATTGACTAAAGATTCTTCTAACGTTTACATTTTAGGATTTTCCTGTGGTACTTTTGTAGTTAAGACTCTAATGTCACCTGGCATTGGTGGCCAGTCCACCAAGTTTATTCTTTTATCCTCGTCTTAGTTGCTCTTTTCACAAACTTGTGGTATTCAAGATGTGGTTTATATTATAGGAGAAAGTCAAAGCATTTAAAACCAAGGAAGCAAAGCTGGAAACAGAAAAATGGAAGCTAAAAGAAGTTCTAGAAGCAGCAGAGAGCAGGGCCACCAAACTGGAGCTGAGCCACAGAGCAGTGGAAGGAGACTTACAACGAACACAAATGAGCTTGACTTCAAGGGATGAAGAGATCCAGTCCCTGTTGGAGCAAATCCAGGAACTTCGATGCCAATTAGGAGACAGGGAGAACAAAACTGCTCTACTGCAGCAAGAGCTTGACCACCTGACTCATTCTCTAGCCAGGACTGAAGGCACTGAAAGTCACTTTAAAGATAGGGTGCAAACTCTGTCTCAAGCACTCTCCAGTGCTACAGCTGGAACTTCCTCCCTGCAGGAGAACATCTCACACCTCCAAAAGGCCCTGACAGCTGCAGAGCAAGACCGTCGGCTACTCCAGGTAGAAAAACCCAATTATTTCAACAATCGGTCATCCTTGCCTGCACATCTCAATTAAGCAACTTATTTTCTAAACTCCAGAAAAATTGTGCTGTGCAAATCAGTCCCATTCCAATACTAGGTATCTGTTACAAGTCCCCTGCTTTCTTTGAAAAAAAAAGGCATGTTCCAAAGTATTTAAATGAATCAGCTGATATCAGAATCCAAATTCAGTCTCAGCATCTCTTTTATGTAACAACCCCTTCAAAATGTCATTGATATCATGCTCTTTTTTGTCCAATAGCCCAAATTCATATGTCTTGCTAATATGCTTGGTCTTAAACCATAAACTGTGATTACTAACTTTTAAAATATCCAGGAAGGTATGTAGTAGAGGACATACTTTGCATGCATATTGACCCAAATTTAGTTCTTAGCGTCTTCTGATACAGCTAGTCTCCTACCTGAAACTTATAGAGTTGCTGTCATCAGTATAACCAGTTATAAACTTGATGGGTTAAAGATCTGACTAATTAAAGGCGATTTTGTGTATTCCTAATCATTTCTGAAAGAATAAGTTCAAAGAAAAAAACCATACTTTTCATTATTTATTGCAGTACAGTTTGTTCCTTTCCAATGGTCTGAGCTGGGATGGAAGCAATGGAAGGGGCACGCTGGCTTGCCAGATTATTTTTAATCATATAAACAGTCACTACTACATGCATTGTATTATTTAACCAAATGTCTTTGAATTATTATTTCAGCAGATTTCATTTCAGGTTGAATAACATAATAATATTTTCCAGGATCGCTTTGACTCCATGCGACAGGCATTGTCAGATAGCAAGAGGCAGAATCATAGCTTGACTAATACAGTACATTTGTTACAAGATCGACTGGCTGACATGGAACTACAGTACAGAAATATGGAGAAGCAGAAGCATCATCTTCTCGAAGTAAGTGATGATGAGAGAGGAGGATTAATTTAACAAAACAATCTTATGGCTGCATGTTATCTTGAATCAACTTCAAGCCAAGTGGGACTCCATCCTTAATTGAAGATTATATGGATTATAGTAAGTCAAGTGTCACAGGAGGCTCCCTTTGAAAAGTGCATGTGCCGTCATTGTTGAAAAATGGCAGAACCTTTTTCCTTAAAGCTGTGCACTTTTATGAATTATGTTTGTATTTCCAAATTTATTGTGGGCTTCTATTTTTCCCTGTTGAAATATTCAACCAGAGGAAACCTTACCAGTACTTTTAACAGAAAGAAAGAAACCGCACTCTCCAAATTCTAATATATATTAGAATTATATATTATATATCTAACATTTCACTCTCATATCTTTCTTTACTCTTCATAGTTAACTTCTCCCAGCTCAAAGAATCTTTCCTGCACTGAAAAAACATATTTTTCTTAGGTTCTGATCCACATTTCTTGGCAGAAAAGGCAACTTAAAAAATTTCACAATTTTTTGTCAAGAATTGTGGTATTTCCCATCTTGGAGAAGCAAGACCCAGTTTTATTGGAGGGAGATGATTGGCAAAAGAGTTCCACAACTCTTTTCTCTGAAGTCAGGGTTTGTCCTGGATATGCTTCTTGTTCTAAATTGTTCAGGTAGTAAAGCAAACAGATGTAACCTGATAATTTTTCATAACAGTTATTAGGTTCTTTTTAAATGCAGTCATTGCACTAAAGCATTGTTAATAACTAATGTTTTTATTCCCATTAATTTAACATAAAATATACAAATTACAATATGGAAAAGGAAAAATTGCACATAATAATTATTTCTATAGGATTATATGTTTAGTGCCCTAACAAAAGGAGAAGAAGTAAGAAAGACATCTGCATGTGACTTACATTTCTGCTGAGGCATAGTGCACAAAGTGTCTTATTATCCATTATTTGTTTTATTCTTAAGCACTATAATATAGCAGCAAGCAGTTTAAAAAAACATATTCCTATTTGCATGCCTTCTTGACAATATTCCTATTGACAAATAATATTGATTGTCATTGGGTTTGGGGGTTTGGTTATTTTTATTTTCTTTCTTTTCTACCTAAATTCTATCTAATCATCTTTGGCATCATTGTAAGCCACTCAGAGTCTTTCTTGAAACTGAGCAGCATATCAATTGCAGGAATAAAAAGATAAAGTTATTATAAAATGTGAAACATGTTGTTTTAAACAAAGATTTTAAAAAAGAAAACTTTTTATGCTTACAGGAATACAATTTCTATTCTTCCTGGCAAATGAAAATATTTGCAATCTTTATTTTGCAATTCCTCTCATATAATTTCGTTATACATACATGATTACTGCTCTGATGTTCTTTGAATGTAATCCAAACAAATGCACAGTATTCTTCCTTAAAGTTAAACTTCAGATTTCACTTACATATGTACATTTTTAGGTTATCTGCTTTCCTTGACTGTTCAGAGAAGTAACTAACATACAGCATCAAGGCACTGGTTCAAATTCACAGAACTCATTTGTCACACATCTGTTTGATATCAGCAGAGGCACTCTTGGATTAGCCTAATTAGCACTAGCCATGTAAATGCATAATCCAAACCATCCGGCAGAACCTTCCACTGAAATTAATGTGAGCATCTTCTAAGTGACCTTTGTACATTCCACATATAGCTCTCAAAAAGGGTTATATCTACCATCATTCTCGTCCCATTTTCTATTCTAATACCAATTAATCTGAGCAACATACAGCATTTCTTCAATTTTTTAACCAGGTAAGGGTTGTTTGAATATATAACTGTCTGCAGGAGTAATTGCAAAGTAGAGTAAGATGTCAGGAATTTTGTATATTTGGACATCAGACTTTCACTGTGAATTTTCTCAGATTGTTATATGGAAAAGCAGATATTAGTATGTAGCTCTCATTCACATTTCTGGTCATCTAAACTAGAATTGTTGGGGAATTATGGTCAGCAATCTGTTCAGAGGCATATGTTGGCTGTCCTTGATATAAGTTGTGATGTCAATAATTTCCTTCACCATAGCTCTGTTTTTGGCTTTGTGACAAATCATGCTAAGCAATGCATTGTTTATGCAACATACTAAGATAAAACCAAACCTATCATCTAGCTTGATGTATGAATGCAGACCCTGATACATTTATATTAACCATTGTAGATGGCTACACAAATATGCCATCTCAAGATGCATTCACCCTAAAATGAATGCACCAAAAAAAAAATCAAGTGGAACAAATCCAGAGACACTGTTTGACTCTGCAAAAGGATAATGTTAGGCATGCCACTTTTATTCAGTTTTCTATTCACAACAGTCTCTAGAACCAGCACCTGTTCTAGTCCTGTGTTCATAACTGCTAGCAGTTTTTATTCTAATAGAAAATGTAACTCATGATTTAACAGTTGATTTCTTCATGCTCTCTGAGCTAGGTGATTTCTTGCAGACTCAACTGGTTAACATCAGTGGGGTCAATATGCATGCAGTGGGGTTTCCTGGTTGTTTATATACAGTTTGCTCTGCCACTCTTGGTTGGAGTGTGGCTTCCTCCTTTATGGTTCCTTGATAATGGTAATGTTTCTTCCCTATATCTGGCACTTCATGTTTAACTGGGTTTGGCTGTTGGTGGGGGATATGTTCTAGGCTGTTTATTTCCTTCCTAGGCTTTGGATTATGTCTTTTAAATGATATGTAAATAGCATCATTTTATATGCATATCGATGGCTGATTTATCTGCCAAGCTTCCAGGAAATCCTTAGCATTTTTTGGATTTGGTTTGGTTTGATAGTTTCCCAGTTGAAACTCTGGTTGAGCCTGACCATGTGTTGCAAGACTTTCATCTCGTCTTAAAACTGCCACTTGGTGTTCATTATATGGTCTGTCAGTCTTCTACCTGTTTATCCTATGTAGGGGCTGTTATCATTCTTACCCTATATCTTGTAGATATCTTTTGAGACTTCAGACTGAGAGGGCACTAAAGGAATTACTAGGGTTCAGACGTGATTATCATACTGAGACAGCAATAGTTGCACTTACTGATAACATTTGGAGGGATCTGAATAGTGGCAGGTGCATTCATTTTGTCCCTTCTTTACATCTCAAGCTTTTGATACCATCAATTGTAGTATCCTTCTGGACTAGTTTAGGGAGATGAGAATGGGAGACACAGTATTACAATGGTTTTTCTCCTACTTCCAGCATTGGTTCCTTATTGGTTGTGATAGAAAAGAACAACCCTAAATATGCAAGATGTAGGATTCCACAAGGTTATATTCTCTCCAGTTTTTTTTTAAATATCTACCTCACACTGTTAGGTGAAGTCATATGAAGGTAAACAGTTAGATATCATCAGTATATACTAATGACATTTAATTCTATACCTCTGCCTCAGGTCTACCAAGTAATATTATCAAGGTGTGTTTCAGTGCCTGAAGAATAGGGCGTGGATTGGGAGAAATAAGATCAACTTTATCACCGGCATTTGAGTAGCTGTAAGGTTTGGAACTACTCACAGACAGGGACTTATTTTTGCCACAGAATGGATTAGCCTTCCTCTAGATGGTGCTTGTGTGCAATTTGAGCATTTTTCTAGACTCCTGATTCCTGCTTGAGAGACAGGTGGTACTATGGCTAGAAGGGTCTTTCCACACTTCTATCTTGTGTGCCAATTGTGCCCATTACTGAACCAAGAGATCGTGTACTTTGACTGCCTCCAATGTGAATTAATGTTATCTGTTCTACATAGGGTTGCCTTTGAACATCACTTGGAAGTTGCAGCTGGTCTGGAATGCAGTGGCATATTTTATTTCATTTTATTATTTTATTATTTCATTAAACAAATGGCTGCCAAACTCACACGTAATGACTCCAACAGCTTGCAATGTTACAACATCAAACTATGTAACACCCCTATTCTGCACATTGTACATGCTCCCAGCAGAATTCCAAGTGTGATTGAAAGTGCTGGTCATCACCTATAAAACCCTTCATAGCATAAAGCCAAGTTATCTGTGGGATCACCTGTCTCTACTTCTTCAATGACTGGCCAGGCTGGCAGTACTTTGATGGGGTTATTATCTTTAAAAAATGTACCATAGGACTCCCTTTCGTGTCCCTTTCAGAAGGAGGAAAACCCTCTCCCATTTTGCAGCTGTTCTGACATTCTCTGGGTCCAAAAGCTGGAAGGCAAATTACATATCATTATGTTTAGAATAAATTTTAAAGAACATGAATGCAAATTCTGGTAAACTACTTTTTAACCAATGGTCCAATTTCACATGCAAAGTCAAAATAAACTTAGGGTGCCATGCAGAGCAAGTCATAGATATTCCTTGCTATGCTTCAGATCTGATTAATTTAATGAATCTTTTGTCATTTGTGCTAATTTAAGGCTTTTTGGCTCACTTGTTTTTCTTTAAAATCTTGTGATTTTTTCCTATGCTCTATGTGTAAGATTTTTATTTTTAAAATCCCGAACTGCCTCTGTGGCCATGATTATTCTATTTCTAGCTGTTGTGAGTATCCCTAGAAAGAGTTAAAAATGTTATTGCCAGGTCCCTCCAGAAGTGATAGAAAAGGTCAGGCCAGGCATTTGTTGGAAATTATTTACTGTTCTTAGATTTTTCTAGCTGGAGAATTGAAGAGGGTGACGAATGTGCTATTTTTCTGTTATGGCAAAATAATGTTAGAAGCATTTATCTCTGCAAGCATAAAATAGCCATATGTATAGTGCCCCAGAATTCCCCTATGTAAAACCTTTTTCCCTGGGCTGAAGAAAGGGTAGATTCTAGTTAATGAGTTCCAGAACATCAGGCCAGCGAAGGTAATTCATATCAACCTCATAAAAACTCTTTATTGATGTCTCCAGAGGGGAAATCCGGATGTGACCATTTATTTATTCTGGATTTTGGCCATGTATTTATTCTGGATTTTACCTCTCTCTCCTCTATTTAACATTTTCTTCTAGTGAGTCTTAAAGGGACAGAATATCCCTTTCTTCCAAGCTGTTATTTGGAAGTTTTTTCATCTGGCATAGAAGTACATTCATTAACTCTTGCAACCCACAGCCAATTCATTCTTTGCTTCTGTGTCTCTTTCAGTTTGAGAAACATATTTTGCAACATTGGGAGGGATGCTTTTTCTCCCCACCCTCCCTTTGGATCACAGTCTCAGTATTGTTCAGAATGGTTGAACTAATGCAAAAATAAGGTTTGAGATAGGATGCCACACAGTTTTCCATTATAATGGTGTTATCTCTACTGCTAGATGTTTGGCTACCTCTTGTGTGATTTATTAAAGCTACCATGTGTATTATAAAAATACAGCTATTTGATTATTGCAAAGAGATATTTTAAAAAACCCTTCTCTTTTCTGCAATACTCTGAAGTTTGGAAGCCCACATATCATGTTCTACATTTACTAAACTTACCTCAACAGATATGAATCTAGGTTTAAGGAATGCATCCTACAGAAAGATAACGCCTTTTTCCAAAACTTTCCTTTTTTTCTCTTTAAGAAAAGTAAGTTTATATATTAGCTGTCTGGCTTACGGTAAGTCAATCCCTAGGCTAAACAACAAGACCAACTGCAACAGAGAAGAGTCAAAATCCCCACTTAAGTTTAAAATGAAACAAAGCAATAGACCTAGTTACTAGCATTAATCAGACAAAAACATTTAGGAATGTTATTGATTCTGATAAAGCAGCTCCATGAGATGCTGCAGTGGGATGTGCCAGACTTTTAAAGATAAAATAAGTTCATCAAACATGTGTCCAAGAACAGCATCCAAGAAAAAAAAAAAGATCAGCCAATTTTGATAGCCTGATCAGATGTCTTCTAGGGGATTCCTTCTGTACCTTTTTGGCATGAGGCTGAGTAATATGAAAATCAAATGGAGATATAGATTCCTATAGAACACATTTACCCTACTTGCCAACATTCAAATAAGCAAAGATCAATGCCAGACAAATGATCAGAGAGAAAACAATAATTAAGAGGCCATCAAGAAAAAAACTAAAACTGGCAGGGCAAGCTACTGCAGCAAATCTCACACTCACTTGCACTGATGATGTTACCTACTTGGGTAATGAAATAACTATAAGCAAAAAATCAAGCCCAGGGACCACTAAGAACTCCATGGTAACTGAATCTGAATTATATTTCTCATCCATGCAGCAATACCCACAAAGAGGGTTCAAAATAGGAAAGGTGACAGTTGTGGCATCATGATTGAAGCCCTATCCATTTATATGTAGATGCAATGTTAATAAATGTACTCAAAGAACCATGCTTCTTAATGATGTCATGACCACCATCTTACCTATTTTGACAGCACCTGCAAATATTATCCTCTTTCCCTACTTCTCCTCACCATTAAACATAAAACATCCATACTTCTTACATGTCATCCTGTTCAATGTTCATCTTTGTACCTTAAGTGCTCATTCCACTATCATGCTTGCATCAAACCTTCTCCAAATATGCAGTGCAAGAAAGATGAGATGGGAGAACAGAACCAATTATGACCATTAAGAACCTGATAGAAAACAATTATTGTATATTAGAGACTATATTATTAAAACAGAAACAAGCAAAATGGAATTGCATTGTACGATCAATATGTGTGATTCTAATGCCAAAATAAAGCTAAAGTATATGAAAGCAGCACATTGGCAAATACAAGTACTGGGTTCAATTGTGCTCAGTTGGTTTGATTCACACCAATATTAAGCCACAAATTATGGTTCATAAACAGTACCTCAAAATTACGTTCACAGATTGTACTAAGCAAGAACCAAATAATTTCTAATTTAACATTATCTTTGAATAAGGAATTTTGGTGTCCTTTTTGTAGGCAGAGCGTGAGAAATTTGGGAAAGAAGATGATACTTTTAGACTCAGTCAGATGAGAGGACAGCCGAATCGATCCGTGAGTAGCCTTCAGCAGGAGATGGAAGACATCATGATGCAAAATGAACACCTGCAGGTTTGTTGAACTTATTGAACCTAGAGGTTACTAGAGAGATTAATTATTCATAAAGTAGTGCTACGGAGAGCTTTGTAAAATAAAAATATGTATACTTCTGCATTCTTATTTGCTAGTCTGAAAAACTTACAGCTTGTTCTAACAGCCCATCTATCCTTTGGCTGGTATGTTGATGAACAGCATAATTTATTTTTTTATCACCTCTTCACAGTCGCTTCAAGCACAATAATTAGAGGAGAAAGCAGCCAATGCTCATACCTAACACTCAATTTCTTTAAAAGGTCATGGATCATATTCTACTGCAGAAGAGAAGAAATAATTTCTCTAATTATTATAAACTAAGTTGTAAAGGCAGGGTGAAATGAAATCCATGAGCAACTGGCAAGCAAACAATTGTCTGCATGCTTTGGGGGATATTTTTGGTGGAGATTAATATTCATTCTGGTGAATTCTATTGAATGGCAAGAGGAAGGCAGCTAAACAAGTTCTAGTTATGCTTTTTTTCTTGTCTGTTTTCCATTTGTTTTCCAAATGCACTAAGATCTGACATGGAGACACAGATTACAAAATCCAGCCCATGTAGATAACTGAGACTGTCAACCCCGAAGCTGACCTGACCAAAGCCATTTTGATTGCTTCAGTGTTGCCACACTGGAGCTGAAGGTCAGGGAAAGGCAATTTGAGATAGAGGGGATTTTGTAGCCAAAGCAAAGTATTTTCTCTTGGGAACCAAGGACATTCTCACACCTGGTCAGAGGAAGGCTTAGTGATGCTACCTAGTTGCCATATCACACTGTGATTGGACCATGTGACTGATTGTTTTGAGAAAGTAGATTTTTTTTAACTTTTAATTAGGTGAAAAAAACAGGAGTTTTCAGAGTCAGTTTTCACCAGATATGTGCCAAAATGATAGTTCCAATAAAGTTATTCTTTGAGGAATCTACTTGCCTTGGAATTTTGCTTGATATGGATCTATTACTTGGAACCCTGACAGAGAGAAGGAAATACAATACCTATTAATGTAGGTCTTCTTCTGTTACAAGAGACCAGTTTAGGCTTATGGTGAACATGCCCTGCCCCTTATCTGCTACCTGCAAGAAAAAAGAAAAATCACTTTAAGAAAACAGGAGAAGAATCAGAAAAAAGAACAGGAAAAGGGTATTATCAGAGACAAAAAAGATCCTTTAGCCCCACCCACCATTTGCTTCAGGTTAGGCTATCATGTTAACAGAGTACAGGTTAGAACCTCAACCTACAGCACTTCATTTAGTGACCGTTTCAAGGTTACAATGGTACTGAAAAAGTGACTTATGACCATTTTTCATACTTATGACATTGCAGTATCCCCATGGTCACATGATCAAAATTCAGATGCTTGGCAAATAGTTCATATTTATGACAGTTGCAGTGTCCCAAGTATGTGATCACCTTTTGTAACCTCCTGATAAGCAAAGTCAATGGGGAAGGCTGATGTCATGTAAGAACCGTGCTACTAACTTAACTGCAGTGATTCACATAACTGTGGCAAGAAAAGTCGTAAAATGGAGCATAATAAATATCTTGCATAACAACAGAAATTTTGGGCTCAATTCTTTATTGTAAGTCAAGGACTACCTGCTCCGTGTGGCTAGAATGGTCGTTAGAATGCAGTATTGCAGCCAAACTCTGTCCGCAGTCTGGAATTTGAACCTGACAGTCAAGGTGAATTGAGCCTTCCATCTTTTCAAGGTTGGTAAAATGAAGACCCGGATTGTTGGAGGCAATATGCTGACATTGTATGCTGCCCAGAGATTGCTGTAAAGTGCTATTGCTACCTCTGAAGGCATGCAACCTTCAACAACAAAACAAAAACATTGCTGACCCCTGCAGTTATGAAACTCTGGAAGCCAACTTTACCAACATATTCAACATCACAGTCCCATGAAGCTATGAACCCCCATAAACCCCCATGAAGCTTCAACCACAACAATACAAGAGCACACAACAGATACAAACTCAATATAAACCGCTTCAAACTCGATTGCAGAAAGTACAACTTCAGCAACAGAGTGGTCAATGCCTGGAATGCTCTACCTGACTCTATTGTTACATCCTCTAACCCCCACTCCTTTAACCTCAAACTAACCACTATTGACCTCACCCCATTCCTAAGAGGTCTGTAAGGGGCGTGCATAAGTGCACAATCAAGCCTACCGTCCCTGTCCTATTGTCCCCATTTATTTGTACCTATTTCCTGTATTCTTACTCATGTTTATACTTATATCTATTATCTTGTAAGTGATTGACAAATCAAATAAATAAACAAACTAACTAACTAATAAATAAATAAATTCTAGGTTCAGATTGCAGAGCTGGAACAAACACAGGCCCAGCGACTGATGGAACTGACATCACAACATCAGATGGACATGGAACTAGAAACAGAAAGACTACGCAGTGCTCAACTCCAAGCCGAACGGACATTGCAATCCCAGGAAAGAACCCATCGGCAAAGGGTGAAAAATTTGGAAGAACAGGTATAATATAGGTGTAGACTGACTTTCTTTTCTTAATAATGTCTAAAATCTGTAAATAGAATACTGACATGCACACTGAAAGGTTTATATAAATTTCCCATGTTTGTATGCATTGGGATAATGGTTGAAAGAATGAAGAAAATCCAGAGGATTTGGTTTGTTTAAAGACATCAGGGAGAAAAGAGTTTATTTTTTTCCAAATTCCTCTGTGAATGAACATCAGTCCAAATATCTTAAAGCAGGGCAGAAAAAAAATCATTCTGTCCATTGGATTTTCTTGATGAATATTTTTTTAAAATATTTGAGTTTAGAAATCCTATTAGTGTTACAAATGGATGGATGGATGATTGTAGTTTATTCAATAAGCTTTGGTTAATCAAGCTTTAGTTCAATGAGCAAAACTTATTCTTCTAAATCATTTTTGTCTTCTTCATGATTTGAAGATGCCATAGGCTGGATTTACACATGAATTTAAGCCAAAACCAAACAAACTATGTTATAGTTTATGAATGCACAAAAAGAACCCAGCCAATCTATGAGATAAATAAGGGCTTCCAGGATAAAATAAGGAAGGAGAGGAATAAAATAAGATGATGGAAGGTGCAAAGTTCAATTTTGATTCATGCTCAGCACAAGAATGTCTTACAATAGGAACTGCAGCTGTACTTAATAGGATTGTTTGGTGATCCTAAACCAGAAGATTCAATGTACTGGCATTAAAAAGGTTTGTGAGTATTTTAATATTCACAATACTTGAGCCATTTCCCAAAGAAAGAAAAGGTATAAGATTTCCTCCCACATTGTAGTAGAATAAATCCAAATTTGAATTTATACTTTTTTTAGCTTGATCATACAGTATTTGATCAGCACTGCCTCCTAATCATAATTCAAGCTAATTATCAACAAGAGAAAATAAAGTAGGAGAATCACATCAGGACTGTGTGTAAATACTTATAAACAAATTACCATAATTTTCTATCTGAAGCTCTCTCATTTGTAAGCAAGTTTTTAGAAGTGAAGAAAGTGATGGAATGAAGTCATAGAAAACAATTAAGGGTGTTAATTAAAACAATTGAACATAGTGCTTATGCTATCCCTACAGCTTTGATTTTAGGAAATTGAATGAATGTGAAGATGAAGGATTGGTTTAGGCCAGTGAGAACTGAATCTAAATCCATCCTCATTAGGGTCATGAAGCACACATAGTAACTATGACCTAGTTGCGATGACTCAGCTTTAATACTTACCGGGCTTGTGAAGTCAAAATCTGAAAACTTTTAAGTACTAGAAGAATGTAACAAGAAGGATGATTTGTCCCCAAAATTCTTTATGCCGCTCTGATGAATCTGATACTGGTTGCAGTTGAAGTCATAACTCTGAATTAAATTATCTATTCATATTTATCTTTGCCTATGCTTATGTTTTTGTAGGTGAATTCTCTGAAAGAGCAATTGGATAAAGAAGTGAGAAGACGGCAGGTGTACCTGAGCCAGGTGCTTCATACAGTAAAATGATGAATAAGCCAAACATTGCACCTGGATCTCAGATGGCCCAAAAGCAAATCCATCCTTCAGCATGATTCTTACACTCAAGATTTGGATTCATTCATTTCTTGCATTAGGGCACTCAACTGAAGCACAGTCAGAGAAATTGAAGATCCAAGATGAGCAATGCTAGCATGCAGTATTTCTCCACCCAAATAGCACATACTCTGAACACTTGGAAGGCACAGTAAAGATACCAAATAACTAGGCAGCAAACTGCCAAGAGGAAACCCTGCTGTGTGGGCAGCTGTTCTCTTTAAGATGCTTGAAAGCCAGGGCACCAGTGCTTAACTAATTCAGTTAGAACATCTGACAGGGAGGGGATTCTCATTTGTTTGGGTCTTGGGGTGATGTATCCCTGCATGATCTCTTAGAGCTTTCAGTACTGGCTGTACAAACTTTGAAATTCCAGGTGTCTGCTAGGAGCACCCTGCTATTTATATATCTGCATTTCCATCAGTTGTCAGATTATTTTCCCTCCTGCTGGCAAATATTGCTTGATGCACTGTGCAAAATTATAACTTCCTCTTCCTGCATAGTTATACATGAGGTGGCTATTTGGTTGCAGTCACTCAGTGTCACTATTAACCTGTGCATCATACCAAAACACAGTTCTGCTGGCACCAAATTCATAACACAGTATAGAGAAATTAGGAAGAATAGTGAAAACAATACCCAAAAATTGATCGAATGTTTGCTGTGTCTATGAACATCAACCCATTTTCATGGTGGCAGGTGGCCAGATTAATTCAAACCTAAGTCATTTTATGACATGCTGGACTCCAGATATGTCAAAGTGTTAACATTTGACATCCACCCACTCTGCCAGCTGACAGGCTCCAAGAAATCCCTTCTGGAATCAAACACTGGTTTCCCTGGGAATGACAAGAAGCCATCTTGGAATTGCTGTAAACATCACCTGTTATCATTGTTGCACATTTTTTCCTTATGAATATTTGATTTTCCGAATCAAGTTGGGAAATGCATGTTGCCAGTGAGTAAAATAAAGATGTAAAAACACATTTCCTAAATTGAGGAAAGCAGTTTGCATTATTTTATAAAGAAATACACTATACAGTATGTTTGCAATAGATAGTATTTAAGATGTAGTAGCCCTGAAATTTGGACAACTTTTAACAGCAGAAAGTTTTGTGGCAGATTTGTTATAGTATAAGCTGTCAAGCCGGCTGAGGATCACTTATGCATCTGATGATGGGGACTGTAGCCAATAAAACTTTTGTGGCAAAACAATCTGTTTGTCCTTCTGATATCCCCAAATCTCTTTATTCAAGTATTCTTGCTACAACAGTTAAAACAGCCCCCTATAACTCCCTATTGCGTTGATCTCTTTCTTGATTAAACACAGCATAAAGGACCCACTGTCCAAATTGAATCCCATACAGTGCGTCATACTTGTATTACAAAGTAAGATCGAAATGTATTCATCTGATATGATTACTAAACAAATAACCTGATACTTCTATAAAAGGAGGTTAAGGATTGCTAAGAATTACTGGAATTTTGAAAATACTCTTCATGGTTCTTTAGAGAAAATCTCTGATGGCTAAAATCTGCTTAAAGCTGACTTACTAAGGTTACATGCTGCGCATCAAGAATCAGATGATGAAATTTGCAGTCATTTTTATTAATGTTGATTTGTATACATATTGTTTGACTCCAGAACTAGATCCATACCATGGCATATAAAGGCACTAATGTGCCTGTAAACCCTTTATTTTCTGTGGTGGTTGCCAAAGTTCATGTTCCACTTGAATTATAGCATCTAAAAAGCTTTAAAAGCAGGAAAAGTTAGAGTTAGGAAACACCACTAGCAGCCCAGTTATTTCCACAGATGCCTACATTAGAGGGATCTTATTCACTTGAGGCACTTTGTTCACTTGCTTTGTATGTTCCCCTATCTAGAAAAACAGAAAAGATAAGCTGGAATGGTACAGATGGAATAATAAAGACATTCTAGTGAACTGGTGCTTTTTAATCTATTGTATTATCTGTGGCTTCAGTTTTATGAGTGAAGACGACAGCCATTTTATAGGATTGACTTACATTTTCTCTGAATTCCTGAGACTCCATATAAAGCAAAAAATGTATATATCCATAAGTTTAGACCTATTTTTATGCTGGCATGAAATCCCAGTTCCATTATTTATGAAATGCAGACATGCCTGTGCCCATAATGTGGTTGATTTATTCATTCTTTAAGCTTGTCTAAATCAAGATTAATTTAGCCAACCTCCAAGGACCACTTTCTGCCCTGTCTCTCATAGATAAGACTCTAGCACTAATGATCCTTTTTTTGTTATTTTATAAAATAACATAAATCATTGCCCTTAATGCTAGAACATTAAGTGCCAAGCGGCAAAAGGGAGTTTGTTGTGTTCTTAATTTCCACCACCTGGTTTTGACCTACGCCTGGGCAAAGAGCTGGGAATCCCAGAAAATTGGTATGCATTGCTAACACAGTCAGCTCCAATGAGGGAAAGTTTCCACGGGTGAATTTAGTTAATCTGATGCTGAGCCCTGCTGTTCTTTTTCTGCTCAGTTTCAGTTCTTACACAGGAATCTGTTCCTTGGCCTCCATTCAGCGCTGAAACAGACCTTGCAGTAATTACCACAGCAGATATTTCTACTGCCTTTTTTTAGTATTGAATACAAGCAGCTTCAAAACAAGGTCCCGGTGGAAAAGAGATTTATCTTCCAAACACTGAAAGCTAAACATTCCCCTTGTAGCTACCAACAAACACTGCAACATTTTGTTTTTCTACAAAATGTATCATAACAGTTGCCATTGTGTGGATGTGTATGTTTTGAAAGGTGAAAAAGGATTAAAACAAATACCAGCTTTGTTAAGCCATTTCATACTCCACTTGGATCATGAACTCCATAGTATAATTCATAGTTCCGACTACTGGAAGTGGAGCTTTAAGAGGGATCTGACTTACTTTACATGAGAGCAAGTCAAAAAGCAAACCAGAGTTACTTGATACAAATCCAACAACAGTTTGTTGAAATTAAGATATCTCACAGATGTGTTCCTGGAAGCATGTCCCAGGGGATTCATAGGATCTGCTTTTGAGACTCTTCCTTTGAAAGCAACAGAATGGGCACACAATTATGTCCTACTTTTATTAAATAAAATAATACCCACATATCAATAGGTTTATTTCTAGGAAAGTGTATGATTGACATGTTAGTCATGATCAATTTAACTTACATAGTACAACTCAGCAACTTTTGTTGGGTCATGTAAAATATATTTCATAAGGGAACGAATCTGTCAATTTACTTGCTTATTTTGACAAGATAAAAATGCTAGTAATTGTAAATATTACTTGAAGTATTAGGTACAACTTTCTTTGCAACCACATGAGCTTCTTATAACTCGGCTTCATAAACACTTTTTTTTTTTTTGCAAACTACAAGAAACACCTATCTCCCTTGCCATCTTTTAAAAGGGAAAACTCTTTTCAGGGATCTGAAAAGCCATGTATCATTGGCCAAGGAGCATGGCGTGTAGTCTTAAGAAGCATGCTATTATTTTGCCACTTCGACTCATAGAAGTCACATTTCCAGAGGAGTGGGGATGAAATATCACATTTTTCCATGGGGAGAGGTGGAGGGCTAGGATGGAATGGCATGTTTGAAGGGACATGGGTGTATCCAGCCTTAGAAATTTAAAGCAAAGTTTTAAAAGAACCAAAAAGTGAGGCCACCAGATTTGGGCTCTGTTACTAAAATTCACCAGGGTGCTATGCAAATATGAGTAAGGGTTATGTATAATTCACAGTCTATGAATTCTGATTTCTTTGCTAATCTAAGGGAACATTGGAATACAAGCATCAACAAAATCAGTTAGCACCAGTGAAGATGATCTGGTTGCCTCCTCAGGCATCTTTTCCACCTTGCATACCACAGCAATTTCGTGAGATTTATAAAAAAGATAAATACAGGAAAAGAACAACACGGAACAAACAGGAAAGGGAGCAAATACTTGTTAACTAAAGAGGCAAGGATTAAAGATTAGTTTGTTCTTTGGAAACAAAGTATGTACTTGCTTAAAGGTTCACTGTTTATTCAGCTAATTCTTGCACAACTTTGTCAATTAGTTTATAACTTTTATTCCTGAGTGGTAAGCTGCATAGGTGGATCTTAATGAGCTTTTGTATATCCTCTAAAATATGTCCCTAGATAAAGCTGGAATTAAATAGGAATAAGCCTCCCTTTATGTGGCAGGATAGCCAAGTGACATACATGGGTTCAGCTGTGATTCAATGAGAGGAGATAGTTGCATTTGCGGGACTAAAACTGTTCCAGAGCTGTATGAATGACAAACAACATACAATGCCACCATGGTATACAATCCTATGTATGAAAAGGAAATGAGATGATCTCATACTCGTGGCACTTGTTTCCCAGGAGAGTGAAGCCACAAAGTGGAAATATTAGAACTTGCTTTTTAAGTTAACTTTCACAGTACCATATGTTGGAATGAATCTATTGTTTTAATTAATTCAGTTTCCAAGACACTAATGAGAAAAATAATTGTTATATGTACAGTATGTTCTTAGCCACGAACTTCCTATATTGTTTTCCAACTTCCAGGGGAAGGAATGGCTTCTCAACATGTGGATTGCCAACTTTGCTGTCAAGAAGAAAAATGGCCTAGCTGGCTGTGATGCTTCCTATTAAAATGTCTCAGGAAGATGGATAGCCTATGTAGTTGTTTATTTGAGAAGCTTTATTTGTCCTCATGATCTAATCTGTTGAGAAATGACGATCATCTCTACACTGAAAAATACTGAGCTGTGTTGAGGTATTCCCTGTTAGAAAAATGAGTGCACTCAGGGAAACGTAGTAAGAGTGGTGATGAATAACATACAATCAGTACACAGATACACTGAATAGTAAAATGTAAGTTTTACTTCCAGTAAACAGGTAAACAAAGTCCAACAAACAGTCCAAATCATTCACGGTTAAAGCAGGTAGTATTCAATACGATCAGTCCAGGGATAATCCAAAAACGAAGTCCAGTATCATAAACAAAGTTCAGTAAACAGAGTTTGCTAATA